CCGGCTTTGTTCCAGAAATCCAAATGCACAGGCGCAAAATGAGAATGCTCATTTAGTGCAAATCTTTATTATCTTTTAGACAAATTAAGTGCGATTAGGGGGGGGGGGGAAACACCCAAAGCCCTTTAGGCAAAGTAGTGCTCACTCTGGGAAGTAAAGATCCTGCACCCATCCATTATGGAGAACCTGAAAGACAATTTTGTTACCAGAATGAAGAAGCTGCAGCTATTTGCTGAAGAGTTTAATTGCTACCTATTATTTTTACCAAGTAGCAGAGCTATTTACGTTTCATTAAAAAAATCATTCCTTTGCTCCATCAGAAATACAACTGAGTAGGCAGTGAAGCTTTCCGCAGTGATCTTATTTCAGACAGACGCCTTTTCTAACTATGCAAACTATGCAGAGTTTTGGGTTTTGATTTTTTTTTCCCTTTCAGCATGTGTGCCCATCTTTGCTTATAGGAAGGCAGGACTAGGATCAGTTTTTGTGGCTCAGAACGTAGCCTATTGTGTGCTTCCCCTCGCTGGAAACATATAGATGTTCTGAAATGTATCCTGCCTTAAAAAAGACCCAATACAGCAATTCACAAAACCAAACAAGGACCCAAGGTAAGTAGGAAAACCAACATACAACAAGTACCGTGCACAGATGATTATAACGTATGTTATAAAGAGACTTTAAGGAGTCCTCCCTTTTGAAACTTTTATTTAACAGAGGAGGACTATTATTAATTATAAGGTTGTACAGTAACTTTTGAGATTCTTGGAGATGATATTTGATATTTTTGATATCTCTTATATTGTGAATTGTGATTAAGATAATTAGATATGTAGAAATTATTGTAAAAATATTTTTCAAAAAATATAAAATTATTTAGGATATGTTATAATCATCTGTGCACGGTACTTGTTGTATGTTAAAAAAAGACCCATACATGCCCTCTCTCACATGTACAGAGCACTGAGGGCAATTCTGCATTGGCTTTTCCCTCTGTTTTAGCAAACCCACGTTAGAACAGAAATCCCCCTCTGCATTGCATGATGCTTTCGCTTTCTTTGATCATTGGGTTTTATGGTACCATCTACATAGATTATGGCCGTTCAGGGGTGACTTTGCAGTCAGTACGGGGCTGGCCCGGGGTGTTTGAATGTGGCTTTGAGCTGCACCTTTCCCTCAGTCTTGAGAAAATGTGGAGCGAATGCCAGATGCAGAACCAGCCTGAGCCCCTCTACTGCTGCACTCCCTTGTGAGAAGACTGATGCCAGTTAAGTGGGCTGGTGTTGGAATGACAGAGGATGACACGGGAGGAGAGCCTGCATGAGCTCAGAGCTTGTCCAGCTGGCTGCATGAAGATCACAACCTGCAGAGCCAGGGCTTCCCCACTTGGGCTGAGAGATCCCTGACTGCTATGGCTGGCTGGTTGTCCGATGACACATGATAAGGGAAGCAAGAAAGCCAGGTGACTTGGCAAGGAAGCAGCCAGATTGCTGGTTTCTTGAATTGCCCAGGCCTGAAATGATGCAATAGCCAGCCCAAGGTCAGATCCCTCTTCTCCCCATAGCTTCAACAGTGCACATGCACTAATAATATGTGCAGCTGACTTACTGCAACCCCATAGGGGCTTGCCATAGCCTGCCTCTGCACAGCAAACCCTAGCCTTCCTTGGTAGTCTCCCATCCAAGGGCTAATGAGGGCAAGTCCCCACCTAGCTTCTGAGACCTGACCAGACAGGCCTAGCCTGGGCCATCCAGGTCAGGGATGTCCCTAGTTGGGGCAAAAGCATTCCCATCGTCCCACAAACCACTTGCTGGCATGAATTTGCAGTTTAGAAGGGGAGCTGGAAGCGGTGTCACCTCTCCTGTGCTGCTTCTGGCACGGAAGGCAGTTCTTGACTAGTGCTAAGCCAGCTTTCAGAATACAGACTGAGACTTCCAGTTTCTAGCCCTCACTGTCATATGTTTAACAGCTTTTGAAGCCGTATGCCCCTTTATGAGAATGCCATTTTTTCTGTGTGATGCAACACTCACTGGGTAAAAAGCAGGGCTATTTTTGGGGAGGAATGCACAGGAACGGAGTTCCGGCTGGCTCCCGAGTTGGCCACACCTAGCAGGAACTCATTAACATAATAGGCCACACCCAACAACAGAAACTCATTAGGATTAGCTAAATTAGGGGTGTGTGGCTTAACATGCAAAGGAGTTCCTGCTATAAAAAAGCCCTCCGTTTTAACAAACAAGGTAAACAGAATAAGAAGCAAAAGGTGAGTGTGTCTGGATGACCACACTTCTGCGAACATGGGGTGTGTGGCCTAATATGCTAATGAGCTGTGCTGTCAGGGGTGTGTCCTAATAAGCAAATGAATTTCTGCTGTTGGGTGTGGCCTATTATGCTAATGAGTTCCTGCTGGGCTTTTTCTACAAAAAATGCCCTGGTAAAAAGTAATATACTCGGACAGGGGGAAGCCTTACCAATTATCCATTTTTGTGAAGCTCTATGAGCCCCACATAGGCCGGCAGAACAGTCTCCCTCCATGTATATATAGGGGCCTCCACCACCTCATTTGAGCATGCAGTCTGTGTGTTGTTCTCCACTTTAATGTAGCAGCTGGAACTCTGTGGTACTCTGTTTCCCAATAAGCATCTCTCCAGGGGTGCTGGCCCAGAAGTGGTCCCAGAAGGTTTGTCATCAACTGGGTCTTCCAGCTTCTAGAAGTAGAAAGTAAACACATAGTTAACAAACTCGCTTGGGTGGCCAAGCTACACCTGGACCAAAACCATGGAAATAGGCACAAGTTGGCAACGGCAGCAAGAGTAGTATTTGCAGCCAAGTGGAAAATTGAAGGCTGCCCAGCTATTGAGAACTGAGTAGACAAGACGCAAGAATACGCAGTTATGGCAAACCCGACAAACTACATTAACAAAAGTTGAATTCGAAAACAGTTGGTGAGTTTTCTATGACTATTATAACTGATCTCTTTAGTTATATATCTGAAAGGACTAATAGTAAATAAGAACACTATAAGACAGTTTTAATATGAAATAAAAAGAGTAGTACATGTTGTTTATTATAACAAACTATTATTTATTATAACAAACTGTCGTGTGAAATCTTATTAAAATTTATATGATGTTATCTATATTATACTATATAATAGATAAGATCAATAAGATACGATAAAAATGAAAATATAGTATGAGAAATTGGTAGAATGTCATTATACAGATTTTTTAAGTGAATAGGTCATATATATTTTAAGCTATATTCTTATGCCATTACACCATATATATCTTGTTAAACATTTGTTAAGCTATTATACAATATACTTTTTTACATCTATATATATATTCCGAGAAAGGAATGTTCTTAATTTAAAATTGCCCTCACACTAGTTTTTTTGGTAATTATATTTTCTATCTGTTTTTCCTTGTTTCTTCTTTTTTTCCCTGTATCCCTTATAATAAAAAAATTAAAAAAAGAAATATGCACAAGGTATGATCCTGGGGTAGAGCATTAAGAGTTCTATGAGACCTGATCTAAGCAGACAGTAGAATGAGGTGGTACGGAATTTGCCACTTCAGACTGAAGGTGGATGATGCCACCTTTGAGGGTTCCCACATGTAGAAAAAAATCCCTGAAAATAGTAATCTAGAAGCTTGGGAGAAATGATCCCTGCTGTGCTTACTTTCTATTTGCAGATCTTGTTGTTGTGAGCCCCTTCTGTAATCTGAAGTGGTATAGTCCATTAGCATTGTAACCAGTACCAAGCTTACTGGTCTTAGTGTAGGTGACAAAAGTTGAACAGTGGGGCCACCCATAAATTAGGTAGGCATCTCTACATAAGAAAAAAAATGACCTTGCAAATTAACTCATAGGAAAAGATGGCCTTTAAAAAAAAAGCCCAGTGAGGACTAAAAATATCCTCTAAGATATGAAATGTTGAAAGCAGCTGAGCATCAATTAATGGAAAAAGCAAGGCTAGACCAGTCTGCTCAACCCCCTGGGACTTTAGGGAATCCCATTGGGAGATTTTGGGGGAGGGGATTTTAAAATTCCTCCCCGGCCACAATTTCGCATGGGTCTTCAGTCTGTGCTGATCCCATTCCCATTTATTTCTGTTTGGATTTGTAGACCTGTCTCAAATTCTGCACAGTGAAATGGAAGAGTTCTGGGACATACGAATTCAGACAAACACCAGATGGAAGTGTGTGTCAGATTTTTGAAGGTTGTACCAAGCCCAGTTTCTCTGCTTGCTGTAAACTGGCTCCTTGGGGACAAAGATATGCAAACTATTTCCTCTGAAGTGCTGCATGCGGGGCATTTTTTAAAAGTGGAGGAGTATTCAGTTGTTTCTGTGGGACCTTGGATTCTCATGGCAAAAAATTACTCTGGATTGAGATATTTTCCTTTGCACGCAGTAGGCCTCAAAGTTCAGTCTTGTTTCCTGCCTCCATAAGCTTGCCTCAAGACAGAGACCTTGGCTTTTCAGCTATTACTGCTCCTTTGCCAGATATATATGATAAAATGAGTAGCTTTTAGGGACTGTGGACCACTTATTTGCCCCGGACCCTGCAAACATGGAATCCATTAACTCTTTTCACTTTATTCAGTTCATTTCCACTTTCAGAGCCCATGGGTCTGTGCAAAGGAGCATCGAAATTTGTTGCAAGTGTGAATCAGGATAGTCTAGAAGTGTTCTAAAGCAGGGCCTTCAAACCCTGGAGTGCATTCCTTGGGAGCTTATCAGGAATTGCTCATTCAGAAGATTGGTAGGGGCAGAGGAGCCCCCTTTGCAATACCAGTGGTGGAGCCAAGCATGTCCTACACAAGAGGAGCAGCAGGTCTGGCCAGTGTTCCAAGAAAGCCACCTGTGCATCCTGGCACAAGACCTCGGCAGATTCTGTAGCACACACAGAGGTTCCTCCGCAGACCACTCCCTTATGCAAGCAAGCTTTACAACAGTGGGGATAAGCCAGGGAGCGGAAAGTCAGCTTTCCTCCTACCTCACGTCCTGCCGTTTCCTCCAAAATCAAGTGCAACAGGCGAATGTACTCGGCAGCTGCTTTAAGCATGTCAACTTTACTAGGCTTCCGGTCTTTTGGGATCAGTGGCACAAGAGACTTGAGCTTGGAAAAACCACTGTTCAAGTTCTTTATCTGCTTGAAAGAAAAGAAAGGAGTAGGAGATTAAAGTAAAGGGGTCTCAGGTTCCTGAATCTCCTTTTCTCTCTTCTCCCCCGGCAACTACCAGATTATCTGTTGTTTGTTTTTATTGGGTTTACTCAACTGTGCCCGAAATCAGGGCTGGCAGCAGGATTTTGGGGGCCTTTGGGCACAGGATGTCCACGGGCCCCATACTGCCACTCCCCATCCAAATTACAGCTCTAGAGGTGCATGAATGCCTCTTTCACTTCAGACCTCCTTCCAACACAGAAATGGGAGATACCACAAGGATGTCTGGTGTGACCTCACATTTCCTGTTAAAAAGGAGGCTGTGGGCAGTGATGCTCCTGTGTTCCAGTAATGTCACAGGACCACAAGTAGGGTTGCCAACATCCAGGTGGGGCCTGGAGATGCCCCAGAATTACAGTTGATCACAAGACTCAGATCAGTTCACCTGGAGAAAATGGCTGACTTGGAGGGTGGACTCTATGGCATTATGCCCTGCTAAGGTCGCTTCACATCCCCAAACCCTCCCCTCCCTAGGCTCCACCCCCAAACCTCCTGGAAGTCCCCAACCAGGAGTTGGCAATCCCAAGTCATTGCTCTGTTCCCTCTAGAACTTCTTCTGCCAAGAAACCCTCCCGTTTCCCAATGGAAGGAGTGTCTAGAGGAAACCAATGAGGCACATTTGTTTTGTTCCCTTTGTTCCTTCCTGGTATGAGACATGGGAGACCAGCCAAGCATATGGTCAGTAGTTCCTGGGTAGTTTCTCTGCCAGGCCCTTGACTGTTGACACCAGATACCAGTCCTGGCCAAAATCGTATTGTACCTCACCTTGTTCCCTTCTTCTAAATGAAAACTGATCTGGACAAAGGTGAGGGCTTTAACATGAAGATTCTGAATTTGGGTAGGAAGAGCTGACTTGCAGAAGTGCTTCTGCAGACAGGATTGCTTCAAAAAAATCAGAATCAAAGATGGTAGAATTTATTATGTGGGGACAAGACTTCCATGCTCTTGTCTACCTCTTGTTTACTTCAATAGGGATTATGCTGGATGGTGTCCCACGGGTCAAACCTCACCCCTACTGTGCCACACTCCACAGTTCGTAAAATCCATTAACAAAGTCAGCCATCTGACCGTGAGAGAGCCACCTCAGAACTTTCCCTTTATTAGAGTAACCAAAATGTAAGGCGCAGCTCAAGAAAGCAACAGGGCATTAAGCCCCAAACATTCAAATCTAGCAGAGTTCCACATCTAGTTTTGTGATATGCTAAATACAAGAGCAAAGAAACATCATAAGGATGGAAGGAAACTAGTTTTGCCGAAAGTTGTGAAAGGCTGGGCTTCCCATAGGTATGCGTATACACAGTGCTTCTTTGGCTATCCTGTTTAGTGAAACAGGTTTGGGATGCAATATAAAAACCTCTTTCTTACAGAAAGCAGTAGGATAAGCAATCCTTCTTCAAACCAGCTTTCCAAAAAGCTTGAGTCCGGTGGTACCTTTAAGATCAACAAGCTTAATCCTGGGTATAAGCTTCCGTGTGCACCACACTTCATCAGGTATCTGGTGAAGTGTGCACGCATACAAAAGATTATGCTCAGAATTAAACTTTGTTGGTCTTAAAGGTGCCACTGGACTCAAACTTTGTTCTGTTGCTTCAGACCAACACAGCTACCCACCTGAATCTATTTCCAAAAAGCTGCCAAAACCAAGTTTAGAACAGGTGGTTGAATGCATTTCACCATCCCAAAGTTTACCCAAGTTATCTAGAGTCAACATTTAGTGAAGCTAGTTCCCTGATAAGAACTCTCTTCAAAACATTGGAGTTATTTTATTGCTCTATTCAGGCATCTTTCCCAGCAGAACTGGCACAAGAATGTCTGCCCCTCTCTCTCTCTCAGAACATGCTGGATCCAGGTGGTTAGTGCAAGCGCAATAACAGCCATCAGGATACTGGAAAAAAGAAACCTACAGAATCATGCTTTTAGTAGTGTTATATAGCTTGGAATATTTGCATGGCCACTTATAGGAAGGGGCTGTGGCTCAGTGGTAGAGCATGTATTTGGCATGCAGAAGATCCCAGGTTCAATCCCTGGCATCTCCAGTTGAAAGGATCGGGTAGGAGGTGATGTGAAAGACCTCCGTCTGAGATCCTGGAGAGCTACTGCCAGTCTGAGTTAGAGATGTGAAGGCCTGGAAAAAAACCAGAAAAATTCAGAAAAAAACCGTTTTTCCCCCGTTTTTTTCCTGAAACCTTTTTGTTTTTTCTTCAAAAAATTGGAAAAATTGAAAAAAGAAAAAAAATTGATTATGTAACGTTTTATTTTAACATGATGAATAAAATATTTTAAGACAAGGTGTTCAAATATTTTTCAAATCATTTCTAAAATATATATATATGGTATCAGATTGATGTAATTTCTGTGCACTGAGGACAAGCAAGTCCTAGGTTACAAACTGAACTCTCCAATCCAAGAACAAGATGCATTTCTTCCTTTAGGAGGTGCGATTGTCAGAAGAAAATAAAAAGGTTTCAGTTTTGTTTTTGTGTGTGGGTGGGTATTCTGTTTGTAATAATTGTTTGGATACACTATATTTTTAATATGCTAGTTGTGATAATTTCATGCCAAGTAAAAATGTCCATAGTCATATTTTATGTTCCTAAAGTAACAGAATGACTTTCAATCTAGAGAAGACAATAGAAATACGAATGTAGCATTTTTTTCAATTTTTCAAAAAAATTCCTTTTCCCCCCGGAAAAAAACGGGAAAAAAAGTTTTTTTCTGAGCTTCAAAATTTCCAGAAATTTTACATCTCTAGTCTGAGTAGATAATACTGATTTTGATGGACTAAGTGTCTGATTCAGTATAAGGCAGCTTCCTGTGTGTTCATGACACAGCGGGGGTCCCAAGCCTTTTTGCACCTGTGGAAATCTGACACTGGGTGATGGGTGTAACCACAAGATGGCTGCCATGGGAGGCAGAGCCAGGCAAGCACATGCGCACAGAGGAAGCCTGAGTACAGGGAACAAGAAGGGTAAGTTTTAAAAAATACACTGGGAGAGAGGAGGGAGAGATACAAAAAATCAACACTGTGGTGGCAGTTGTCACTTAAATGTTTTTGAAAATATGCACAGCCAATCAGATCTCCAATGGCCAATCAGATGCCCTGCTGGACAAAAGCACCACCTGACCCCACCCACTTTCTAAAAAAATTGAGGGGCAGGAAAGGTGTCAGCAGGCACCATTATAAGAGAGCCAGTTTGGTGTAGTGGTTAAAAGCACGGACTCTGATCTAGGAGAATCAGGTTTGATTCCCCACTCCTCCACTTGTACCTGCTGGATGACCTTAGACAAGCCATAGTTCTGGCACAGCTGTTCTTAAAAAAGAGCAGTTCTCGAAAGAGCTCTCTTAGCCCCACCTACCTCACAGGGTGTCTGTTGTGGGGAGGGGAAGGGAAAGGAGTTTGTAAGCCGCTCTGAGACACCCTTGGGTAGTGAAGGGTGGGGTATAAATCTAATCTCTTCTATTTACTAGTTAGCTTTCAGGACACCATCCCACCAGGTTGCTGTGGTAGCTAGATTTCTATCAGTAGTCACATTCTGGAGGTAGCTACTTTCTGACCTCCATCACAACACCTGAAGAACCACCAAGTGCTTTTTTCAGACAACTCGTTTTCACTTGGGCAGGTTTTCAACTCACTTTATACTCTGATATGCCCCTTGAACACACCAGAGACACATAGGAGTAACTGTATGGGGTGTAGCAAGTGTTCATTGGCACTTTTGCAATGAGGCTTTCTTTGTACAACTAATTCAACCACCCTTCCACTCTGGCTAATTCTTCAAAGTCATTTTAAATCTTTTATTTTATTTTATTGTAATTTCAAGAACAGCATCTCTTGCACAGCCTGGTCCTTTACCATACTTATTTGGAAGTAACCCTTGCTGTGTCCAATGAGGCTTACTCCCAGGCAGGGGTAATTTCCTGCGGGAGCGCACAGAAGCGGAGCTCCAGCAGTAAGGAGCCCAGGGGGCGGGCCCATGCAACAAGCCCCACCCCCTGCTCCCAGGAGCGGAGCAAGAAGCAGCCAGATAAGTTGCAGAGCCCCC